AATGCAGGGCCGACAGACAAGTTCCTTACTTTTTCCCCCTTCCACTTTCATTTTTGCGGTAATGCTGCAATTATTTGGTTGTAATTTTAGGTAGAGCAGACATTTCCATATGTTTTTATTAGCTGCATGTGCGACAACTCCACCAGTCCTACCGATGATATCATTTACGAAGATTATACCTTTTTAAAACATTTTGTCAAAAAAAAAAGGTGCTCTTCGCTATAGTATCAATAAGATGAGCTACTGTTCACTCAACTATTGTGAGTTGAGAATTTTGATAACCTAGCAAAAGATGGTTCGTTTTTTTCTTTATCCTCTCTTTTGCGATAGGCCTAGGTCTATTATAGATGCTTTTCACTTACAGCCGCAAATCAACAATCAGCTGTTTTATATGCTGCTCGCGCTGCCCAAATTGCATGCTTGGTTATGCACTGGCCTTGTGATTTCAAACAATCCACAGCAAAAAATAAAAAAATAAGCTAATGATGCTCTGTGGCTAAATCATTTTCTCTGATGTAGGGTTTTGAAGGATTGTATTTATTTTTGTGTAGTCAGGAGTCATTATATAACTTTGCCAAGTTCAATTTAGGGGAAGTGATTCACATTTCTTGCTAGCTAACCAATTGACAGCTGCATCTCTAGCTGAAGCCACCGAAAAACGATATGGGGGGGAAAAAGTCTGCCACTCAACCACTCATCCATCCAATGACATGACATCCTTCCAGCAGCTAGCTAGGCTCCGTGCTTTTAGCATCTTCTCTCCTCACCATGGAAAAATGTGTGGAATTGCAGGAAATTATATTTAAAACGCTAAAATGTTTTGCTCGCAAAAGGGGGGTGGTATTGATGTGGGTAGGGTACGCAGACCCACGAGCCACTGCGGCCCCTCATAATGAGATCTGTTTTTTTGTGGCCCCCACCCCAATACAAATTGCCCATCCCAGCTCTACTTCATGAAATTTGTCAAATAGAACCTATTTTTAAAACCTCCTATAAAGTTGGTTTTGAAGCATAAACTGTCAATTTTATATTTTTGACTGATATTATCATTGTCTGTTTCATATTTACAAAGTAGTTAAAATGCTGTCAGTTCCACTATAAGCTGCTAGCTAGTAGAAACTAAGACTGGGCTTTGAGGGCCATGCAGCCTTCTGTCACACTGCCCCGGCCTGCAGATTGAATTTGTATGGCATCTCAGTGACACTGAGGCGCAAAGAGGACGTTTACAATTGGCTGGCATTGAAGCCTGCCGAGGATTGACTTTTCCCTGAATTGCTGATGAGACTTTTGTGTTTTTTGTTTTGTTTGTTATGTTTTCCTCGGTCAAGAAAAGGGTTCTCACACTATAAAAAAAAAACTCTCCCAGTGCATAATTCTCTCTGAAAAAGAGCAGGGAGAATAAAATGGTGCACCCATCTTTCAGTGGAGATGGCCATGTCTAATTGTCTCAGTAAAAAATGAATAGGATGTTTGTAAGGGAGGGGAATAGACTCCTGCTGATAGGAGGGCCATCAAAGTGCATGTTTTTTGTTTTCTCGGTTGGTCCTAAATCCAATAAAAATAACATATTTTTTTGATTCCATTTTGTGTTTGTTTGCAAGATTTTCCTTTTTGGTAGAAGGGGAGGTCAATTCCTTCAACACTTTCTTCTCCCTGTGGCATTATATGTTTGAATGACCTCAGAGGCCTGCTTAGGTTTGTTCTGAACTAATTAGCCTAGGCAGCTGGCGCGTTCTTAACAGCACAGAGGGTCCAGTGTGTGCTGGCAGCCATGCGTTTACCCGGGCCTGCGGTCTAGGGCTTCCCCTCCCCCACTACTTCCCCTCTTCCCTCCTTCCTCCCCTCCACTCCCAGGCCAGCCCCAGAAAGAGTTAACTTGGAGAAAGTGTGGCTGCGGCTAGAATCCAGGGCTAAAAATCAACCAGCTGCACACTTAATCCTTTGATGCGCTGGAGGAACATGACTCCATAGCAAGAGCAGTAATCTTACCTGGATTAGACTGAAAAAGAAATGGACAGGGGAGGAATGCCCAAGTTGGAGGTTTTCTCCATTGCTGGTAAAAATGCTGGGGGTTTTGGTGGTTACGCGGGTGAGCAGTCGAACAATGTCCTGTAGTCCACTGAAAGCGAAAAGGCAAGGGGAAACAGATGTTTGAAAGGTATGCCATCCAATAAAATGTCTAAATACACCAGTGGAAAGAATTCATGCCTCACTCGAAATCATGAGATGAGAAAGATCAACCCCAGTCCATCCTGTGTTCAACCACGCTCCCAAGATTCTGGGAAGATTGTGTTATAATAATAATAAAGTGAAAGTCTGCTTCCAAAGCACAACTGGTCATCCATATTTTAATTGGGACACAGATAACACTCTAATTAGGCCTAACTGCAAAATAACAAATATTTACATTCCAAAGGCAGGAAGAAGTGTTTAAATGATCCATCTCCCTAAAACAGGGAATAATACCATTCATGGCATACCACACAAGTTGTGTGAAGCTTCCAGGAAAGTCCAGTTGAGGTATTAGATCTCTGCCAGCTGGGGCTGCTATAGAAACTATGGTTGCTGTTTGTTGAGCATCATGACCTACCCTCCCCCCTCAGTGTGTTACTGCGCTTTGATACACAGTTCAACTTCAAAGACAAGTTGGAGTGAAGTGTGAAAAAACTAACCTTTCTGAATATCTTACCAGTTCCCCTTTAAGACTTCCCACTGAGTTTTATTGGCTGGCTTGAGATGTGCTTAGCCCTCTTAGTCAGTGCTATATGCTTTCTCCTAATGTCTTTATCCTAACTGCCACACAGGTATAAGGTCCCATAAAGAATGCTGGGTGTGAACCCAGTCCACCCCCCTAGTCTCTCTCTCTCTCAGCCATGTGGTCAGAGCAGTTTAGTGAGCCGGATTATCCTCCATCTCACCTTCTCCTCCTCAAAAGCGACGCAATTTCTCTGTGGTGTCAAATTCTGCCAGTCCCCCTCATATTGTGCTGCCTGCAGTGTTTGTGAAGAGAAAAAGTAATTCACCCAACAATGTGGCAATTCTTTTTTCATATTGGGAGAGCGGGAGGAAGTCAGTGAGTTGCTCCACCAGCTGCAGGAAGCGAGGGACTGAATTACAGAAATTAATCAAGTGGACACCCCGCTAGGGCAGGCAGCCTCAGCCCCATCTCCGTCTGCACACTCCCTACTCCACACAGAAAGAGCTGGAGATGGGAACCACGCCATACAGAAAGTATTTGTTTTAAGAGCTTCTCTGCAAAACATTATGCCACACTAATATGGCCGTCACTGGCAAAGCCGTCTGTGAATGTGTAGGTAATATTTAGACATCAGCTGGTATTCACTCAAGCAATCCAAAGTAAGACCACCAGATCTTAGTTGTCATTGTTAAATACCTGCTGTGAACACGTTATGAAGGTGTACTGGTGCCTTTGTGCTCAATTCCTATAGGGTTTTGTAAAGTGCTTGTGGACGAGTTCTTGTTTTCATCCAGAGAAGTGTACTTTTCATTATCGTTTTTGTGTCCAAGCCACTTTGGCTTGTCTCCCGCCAAAATAAAGACCTAGCGTTGGTTGGTTGTATGGAGTGATTAACACCCACGTGAACCCACTGATACCTCCATGCAAACGGAAATGGGAGAAGCACACCGTGCTGATCTGTGTAGCGATCAATTTCTCCTGGAGTAGAATATGCTCACCAAGTCACGTAGGAGTGGCCATCATAAGATGCCACACTCCAGAATTTTCGGTCGGACGGAAATATTTCCTAAAGATGACACCAGTTTGCTAAAATAAAAAACATGGGTTTTGTGTAATAGTAATGCCGGGTAGGCTAGGATTTGTGTCGAGTGTAATTGCAGCCTTTTCAAAAATAAGCACAGTTCAGTTCCCAGTAAGGAACACTCGGTTTCAGTTCTCCCTTTCTGCTCATCATAAGACCGAGGCATGCTTTGGCAACACTCCCGATATCCGTTTACTTCATTTTCTTCTCTATCTCCCTAATGCAACCCTTGTGACTGGAATCCTATACTGTCACATTTATTCATTTAAGTGTGATATACTAAGCATGAATAAGGATTTTTTGTGCTTGCTCCTACTTAGCAGAAATTGTGTTTTTCCCAGATAGAGATATTGATGGTCATGCTCCACAGTTAATGGTGATCTTTGAATATAAATAGCTTGTCAGTTTGCAGTTAGTTACATATTGAGTTTTGTTGATTTGATATGTCTCCATGATTTGGCTTTGAAACACAGTCTTGAAATTAGTGCTCCTATGGAATAATATTATGTCACTGTCAGTGCATTCTATCCAGCTGTGTCAGGAACCTGCTCTGACCTGTTTGTGTGTTTTTAAATGTACCCCAGCTTACCCCAGGTTCTCAAGAACTAGATGTCATAACTCATATTGATGCCTACAGAATCTATGGCACAGATCATCAACTAAATTCAGCTGCGAGACCATTTTTTTTTCTTGAGCGGATGGTCAGGGGGCCAGAACATAATTACAAATATTTTGTAGACTGCAAATTGACCGCAAGAAGCCCAAACAGATATAATATTTGACTAAAACATAATAATTTCAAACCTTGCTAACATTTGTATACAATGAAATATATCTCTCTCTTATGCGTGGGAATACTTTGGAACAGATTTCCAAAATTAAATCACTTGGAGCTGATTTGCTGGTGTTTTGCTCAGAAAACTTGGGCAGCCAAATAAAATCACCACCAGTTTCCTTCCGCCAATTGGGGAATCCTGATCTATGGGGTGTAGGTAGATGCTTGTGAGTTACATAACAAGAGCCTGAGGACAAATCACAAACTCTGTTGCTTGACAGATTGCTTAGGATGCCTATCAGTTGCCATTTCCTACCGCTGTGCCCTTGAGCAAAGCACCCAACTGCTTCAAGGGTGCTGAAATAACAAACTTGTTTGCTCATACATGGCCTAAGCTACTGCTTGGGTTGCCCATCAATATTAAACCGTCCTCTCCATACACCCAGGTGATTGACGTGGACGGCTCCAACAGGATGACCCTGCTGGAGGACAAGCTGCCTCACATCTTTGGCTTCACGCTGCTGGGCGACTACATCTACTGGACGGACTGGCAGAGGAGGAGCATCGAGAGGGTCCACAAGACCAACGCCATCCGAGAGATCATCATTGATCAGCTGCCTGATCTCATGGGACTCAAGGCCACCAGAGTCACTGAGGTCTCCGGTAAGAGAAAAAGGAAATTATGGCGTTTTATTGTTATTTGGATGTACACAGCTGTAGTAGTGTAAGAAGTGTGTTTTGTATATAGGTAGTTCTGCAGTAGTAAGTATGCAATAATTATGAGTACTACTAGGGTAAATGTTTTCTTATATATGATGTATTCTCACATCGATTTCCACAACTGACAGCTGTAAGCAGAGAGTGAACAGTACCAGATCTCCCGGTCTGCTGCAGATAAACTGACCATGTCTCTCTCTTTCCCTCTCTCCCTCATAAAGGCACGAACGGCTGTGCGGAGGACAATGGCGGCTGCAGCCACCTTTGTTTCCACCGGCCCCAGGGCCTGCGCTGTGCCTGTCCCATGGGCCTAGAGCTCCTCAGTGACCTGAGGACGTGCGTGGTGCCCGAGGCTTTCCTGCTCTTCACCAACCGGGCTGACATCCGTTCCATCTCCCTCGGGACCAACTCTAACGACGTGGCCATCCCCCTCACCGGGGTTAAGGAGGCCTCCGCCCTCGACTTTGACGTCTCCGAGAACAGGATCTACTGGACTGACGTCAGCACCAAGGTGAGAATGACTCCTTTTCTTTGTCATTCTATTCTAGTCATTATTCGTTTTATGGTTTCCGAGTCTAATTTTGGGGGTTTGTTTTCTGTCATCTGGGTTGATTTAGCCATCAGGGGTGTTTTTATTTATTTAGGCTCTAGGCTTTTTTGGTTCATATTGAGCTCAGTGCCTGACTGTTGTACAAGTGTCTGACTCTACTCCCCTGTCCTCCCTCCCTCAGACCATCAGCAGGGCCTTCATGAACGGCAGCTCTGTAGAGCATGTGATTGAGTTTGGGCTGGACTACCCAGAAGGCATGGCGGTAGACTGGATGGGCAGGAACGTGTACTGGGCTGATACAGGGACCAACCGTGTCGAGGTGGCCCGGCTGGATGGACAGTACCGACAGGTCCTGGTGTGTAAGGACCTGGACAACCCTCGCTCCCTGGCCCTTAACCCTGCCAATGGGTAAGACTGACTGGGATCCATCTCATCTGCATGACACAACTCACAGACCTGTCTGCCTGGTCCCAGATCTGTTTCTTGCCAACTTTGAACGTGTGACAATGACCATAGGACCAAAGGCGGTACAAACGGATCTGAAACCAGGCTAGGCTGACGTCATCTGTTCACCAGTACCCATAGAGATGACTGACTGGCTAGGTGAATCATGATTCTTTCCCTCTGAGTTTCTCAGGCAGGGAGTGTAGTGAGAGGTTGCATCAGTGCCACAGCACTGCGGCTTTCAAGTTTTACGTTTTTGTCACTTGCACAAGTACAATGAAATGCCTTTCTTGCAAGCTCTTTCCCAACAATGCAGTAATCAATATCAGTGGTACTAAAAAAGTAAAGTAGAACCAAAAACACACGAGAAATAGAAATAAGAAGAACATGAGAAATTAAGTAAGCTATATACAGGGTCAGTTCATGGACAGTGCCAATACCTTATTTACAATGTGCAGGGATACTGGAGCGGTAGGGTTAGATATGTATAGGGGTAAGGTGACTAGGCATCAGGATATATGATAAACAGAGTAGTAGTAGCAGTGTGTGTGTGTGTAGAGTCAGTATGAATTTGTGTGCGTGAGCAAATTAAGTGTGTGTGTGTTGGAGTGTCAGTGTGTGAGTGAGTGTGTATAGTCTTGTGAGTGGGCACAGAGTCAGTGCAAAAATAAAATAGAAGGGTCAATGCAGATAGTCTGTGTAGCCATTTTGTTAGCAATCTAATAATTTAGGAATAGAGGCTGTTTAGGAGCCTGTTGGTGTCAGACTTGTTGCTCCGGTACCACTTGCCATGCGGAAGCAGAGAGAATAATCTATGGCTTGGGGGGCTGGGGTCTTTAGCAATTTTCCGGGCCTTCGTTTCACTCCACCTGATATAGAGGTCCTGGATGGCAGTTAGCTCTGCCCCAGTGATGTACTGGGCTGTCCGTACCACCCTCTGTAGCGCCATGAGATATAGGGCGGTGCAGTTGCCATAACAAGCAGTGACTCAGCCAGTCAAGATGCTCTCAATGGTGCAGTTGTATAACTTTTTGAGGATCTGAGGGCCCATGCTAAATCTTTTCAACCTCCTTAGGGGGAAGAGGCGCTGTCGCGCCTTCTTCACGACTGTGTGCGGACCATTTTAAGTCCTTAGTGATTTGGACACCGAGGAACTTGAAGCTCTCGACCCGCTCCACTGCAGCCCCGTCAATGCAGATGGGGGCGTGCCCCCCCAGTTTATTGTAGTCCACGATCAGCTCCTTGGTCTTACTGACGTTGAGGGAGAGGTTGTTGTCCTGGCAGGTCACTGACCACCTCCTTCCTGTAGGCTGTCTCATCGTCGCCGTTGATAATGCCTACCACCGTCATGTCGTCAGCAAACTTGATGATGGTGTTGGAGTAGTGCGTGACCGCAGTCGTGGGTGAACAGGGAGTACAGTAGGGCACACACCCCTGTGGAGCCCCTGTGTTGAGGGTCAGCATGGCGGAGGTGATGTTGCCTACCCTCACCACCTGGGGGCGGCCCGTCAGGAAGTCCAGGATCCAGTTGCAGACGGAGGCTTCTCCTCCATGTGAGGAGTTGTTAGTCGATACACGTTTGCCAACATGCCACAGCTTTTGCATGTCACTCTGCAGGTGAAGTCATGTCCTGGAGCTGTCAAGAGTCATGCTTGTGGCTTCTGATGCATTTTTACCACCTAGCTTTACCCCTCGGCATTGTTTCCTCTCTCATATACAGAACTGGGTTGAGTTCTTCCACAGTGATTGTCCCCATAGTTGGGGCCGTGGCCATTTACCAATTTGCCAGTGCATATTGAATTAGTTTGGGAATGCAGACATAGTCTTGGCTGGCATCAAGTGTTTGGGGATATATGGGCTCGTTCTACTGTGTTAAAAGCAGCTCTGTGTGTCTGTCCTCAGCTACATGTACTGGACAGAGTGGGGAGGCAAGCCCAGGATCGCCAGGGCCCATATGGACGGCAGCAACATAGTGACCCTAGTGGACAAAGTGGGCAGAGCCAACGGCCTCACCATCGACTACATCGACCAGAGACTCTACTGGACCGACCTGGATACCTGTATGATAGAGTCAACCAACATGCAAGGTAAAGGCATACAGTAGTCAATCTAGTCTCCAACCTCTCTGCTGTTTATGATTGACGATACATGATGAGCATAAAACTCTGTCATATCGCTGTGGTTGACAGCAATATCAATCTTCATTAGCCCAGATTGACATTCTCCTTTTTCCCCCATATCTGCAATATTACTGTACAAAAATAAGATCATATTGCTGTGGTTAACAACAATATCCTGATTTAGATCTTCAATAATCCATATGTTGATAATCAGGTCTGCAGAGGGAGATAGTGGCTGACGACCTCCCTCATCCGTTTGGCCTGACCCAGTACCGGGACTACATCTACTGGACAGACTGGAACCTGCGCAGCATCGAGCGGGCCGACAAGCGCTCTGGGCTGAACCGCACCATGGTCCAGGGACACCTGGAGTACGTCATGGACATTCTGGTCTTCCACTCCTCTCGCCAGGACGGTGCCAATGACTGCTCCCAGAACAACGGCAACTGTGCCCACCTTTGCCTGGCGTCGCCAGCCGGCGCCCAGTGCCGCTGTGCCTCCCACTACATCCTGGACTCCAACAGCAGGAACTGCAGCTGTGAGTAGAGAGACGACCAGGACCGGCGTGGGCAGGGGGTTGTTGGGTTTATGTTTTTAGTTTGGTTCAGTGTTGTATTTAGTGTGTTGGACCAGTCATAGTTTATTCTGTGTTGAGACATATGCACTAATTTCCCGTGGGCATTTTACTGTAAATGTAATCTCTCCGTTTTAAGAATAGGGGAATCAGTGTATTTTTTTACAGCATCTTTGCTCTACAAGGATGTATTGTATAAATAAACCCAGGTGTGTCTACAGCCCTTGGCCATGCAAAACCTCATAACACGTGTCTGTCTGAATCATACAATGAGCTGACCTGAGACTTTCACTGAGGCCTGATGTGGACACAAGTGTTAGAAAGGAGGTTGCTGTGCACATATCGCAGATTGAGCATTCCTCTGGTCTTGGCATGGGATGAAGGCCCTATCTGTTTCTACATTAGTCTGTGTTTCTTTCTCACTGTTGCATACTTCCCTGGCCTCTGGGGACCACTGATTACTGCATTCTAGTAAGCTGATTACAACATCCTGAGTCATGGAGAGGTTGGTAGGAGAAAGCGAGGGAGGGAGGGGGGGGCAGAGAGAGAGAGAGAGCGAGGGGGGTGGGGCAGAGAGTCAGCGAGAAGGGGAGATGGAGAGAGATTTGCATGTTTGAATTGGGCCTGTTGACCTCTGACATCTCCCCTCCCTCCCTCCCTCCCTCCAGCCCCCTCTAGCTTCCTCCTGTTCAGCCAGAAGGCCTCAATCAGCCGCATGGTTCTGGGTGAGCAGAGCCCCGACATCATCCTTCCCATCCACGTCCTCCGCAACGTCCGGGCCATCAGCTACGACCCCCTGGACCACCTGGTCTACTGGGTGGACGGACGGCAGAACATCAGGAGGGCCCGTGACGATGGCACACAGGTGAGTCATGATGATAAAGAGGACCACGTATTTACCTGCTTTTACATACACACTTGAGGTGCATATAGTATATTGTGTATATTACACAATGCTTTTCAATTACATTCTAGTTTACATGCATATAAAGTTGAGTGAGTTATAGCACTTAATTTAATTGACATCAGTACAGCCATCAGGCACAAATACATTTGTTTGAACACTCGCATATCTTTTGTCGACAGAGTGAATCCTTTCACAATTATTGGCCCTTTCTCTGATTTAATATCTGTATCTCCTTCATCCTCTTCCAGTCATCAGTGGTGGTGTCCACCACTTCCACCCACCAGCAGCAGCAAGACAAGCAGCCCCACGACCTGAGCCTGGACCCCTACAGCCGTACTGTCTACTGGACTTGTGAGGCCACCAATACCATCAACCTCCAGCGCCTGGACGGAGACGCCGTGGGCGTGGTGCTGCGAGATGAACATGACAAACCCAGAGCCATCGTAGTCAACGCCGAAAAAGGGTGAGGAGGGGAGGGTTGTATCATGGAGGAGACTGTGTATAAAACAAAGTGCTGCCTTGTTCATACTGTTGCAGCACTTGAGGGAACTGTTTATTTTGTGCAGATGGAGGCAGACTGACTCAATAACTGCATTTAGGGATGGCAACATTTCTATTTCAAATCTTCCAGGCTCGGTTTTCAAATCTACCCCGAATGTGGTGGACTTGGGAATGAAAAACAGAGGGAACTCACTCACTTGAAAGCTTTTGAAAATATACAGGACTTCCAAAATAGTTCAGTGTCCCCTTATGAAATATTTTCAAGCGCGCAATGCCACTTGTATGTGTGTAAATATAGTAGTTGGCTGGCGGGCAGATCAGGGACTGGGTGTGGCACTCCTCCAAGCAGCAGAGTAATTAGTGGGTGATCAGGTGATTAGTGATATGGTGTTGACAATTTGACAAGGGAGGCTCTGTGGAACGGCGTTTATTTTCCTTCGATAGGTCAGGGAAGGAACCACAGCCCCAAGTAAGTACGAGGCTGAGAATGTCAGGCCATGTGTGCAGCAGATGGTTGTGTTGACTGTTCTGCCTGCACTCCTTTCTCCTCTCCAGTGGTGCAGTAGGATGGTCAAGGCCATAGGTCAGATCCTGGCAGGCTGCACTGGAATTGTGATGCTCATTGTTGATGTGGCCGCCCTACATATTACGTTCTATTTGGGGCTCTCCTTTGTGGTTTGGCCTGGATGTGGCATAGGTGACTTCTCTCATAGGAGGAGTAAACTAATCAACATGAGACCTGTTGTTTATAATCCCAAGGATTGAGGCCAACAATCTCAAATGGAATATTGTTGGCAATCAGCTTGACAATTTTGATAATTTGACATGGTCTTGTAATTGTTTTTATCTGATTTGAAAGTTGCATTTAGTTGCTTGTCTCTCCATGGGCCTTGAAAGCACTAGATAGACATTGAAGATGTTTGGCCGAGCTCAGTACAGACATTCTCAAAGGTTACAGGCAGGTTGAGGATCTGGCAGGGTTCATTTGTTTTTTCCCCCTTTCCCTTGAAGTGACCGCTTCTAGATTTACTCAAAGCATTATATTATTACATTAATACTTCAACTGATTACACTCAGACTGATATTTAAAAAAAAATTGTCCCCTTTTCACTTGAAGAGGCAGAACCAAACTGAAGAAGCAGAACCAAATTACAAACAGATGAGCGTTTGCGCAATATAATTTCTTCCTTCGTCTTCTCCGTCTAAACAAGTGTTAAGGGAGGGTCTTATCAGAGCTGATAGAAGCTGGCGTGAGACATAACAAACAGGGGAAGGCCCACACAGCCAGACAATAGCTTCTACCCCTCCAGGCTCTGAGAGAGAGGCCAACTGAACAGCCCTGTGCTCTAGTCTACACCCAGCACAGTGCAATAAAGGCTGCCCTGCCCACCCATCATAACACATACCTCAACTGTTATTTATCTCCCATCTATCAGTAAATCTCTCTGGCTGATTTCCATGTTGTAGTGTGATAATATATCTGTCAAGGTTGACTAATGTCTAAAATCCTGTACACAGTTGTTGGTTTAAGGTTTGGGCAGCAACTGTTCAAACGTCTGGCAGTATGCTTTTTTTGGTTGTTTTGTTTTCTTACCTCTGACCGGCTCCATCCCCATCTCTCCTGTAGGTATATGTATTTCACCACCATGCAGGATCGCTCTGCTAAGATCGAAGGAGCGTCTCTGGATGGGACGGAGCGGGAGTCTTTGTTTACCACGGGTCTGATCCGGCCTGTAGCCCTGGCCCTGGACAACAAGCTGGGGAAACTCTTCTGGGTGGACGCTGACTTGAAACGCATTGAGAGCAGTGACCTCACTGGTGAGTCCCAATGCTAAAGAAGTGTGGACAGCCATTCTAGATCCAGATCATCAGCACTCATAAACACTGCTGATCATCTGAAAAGCTGTTGTTGCTATGGTTTTCATCAGTTTTGACAGCATTTATGTACATCTCTCATTCTCAATTGTATACAGCAGTATTGCAGAAAATGACACAATGTTCCTCGAGTCCAAACACAGTTTGTGGTCTAAAATCGCCTGCCCATCTTCCGAAAACGTCTGAAACCCTACTTCTTCAAAGAGTATCTTAACACTAGAAAAGCCTGGCCTCTTTGGACCCCCTTCAGGCCAATGAGGAGTCATTTTGACTCAACATTCTAACAGCCTAAGGAATACATTTCATGTATGCTATCGGGAAAATAATACTTTGGTTGTGTTTATTAAGAACACAATAGCATTTTTATTAGTTTATGTTACTCTAGGCTATCTGTGGCGTGCATGGAATAGTGATATTTTTAAATAGAGCTAACCTCTACAATCTTAAGAGTTATTTGGCAATGGTAAGTGTTTTAGAAACATCAGAATCTTCTTTTTATGATACTATATATAAATCTAAAGTCTTGCCTTCCTGTGACACTGTACGATGATTTGAAAAAGTCACTTTCTGGCGCAAAACTTAACTGCTTTTAACAAAGATTATTAGTGATATCAAAATTCGAACATACAGTGAGGGAAAACAGTATTTGATCCCCTGCTGATTTTGTACGTTTGCCCACTGACAAAGAAATTATCAGTCTATAATTGTAATGGTAGGTTTATTTTAACAGTGAGAGACAGAATAACAACAACAAAATCCAGAAAAACGCATGTCAAAAACGTTATAAATTGATTCACATTTTAATGAGGGAAATAAGTATTTGACCCCCTCTCAATCAGAAAGATTTCTGGCTCCCAGGTGTCTTTTATACAGGTAACGAGCTGAGATTAGGAGCACACTCTTAAAGGGAGTGCTCCTAATCTCAGTTTGTGACCTGTATAAAAGACTCCTATCCACAGAAGCAATCAATCAATCAGATTCCAAACTCTCCACCATGGCCAAGACCAAAGAGCTCTCCAAGGATGTCAGGGCCAAGATTGTAGACCTACACAAGGCTGGAATGGGCTACAAGACCATCGCCAAGCAGCTTGGTGAGAAGGTGACAACAGTTGGTGCGATTATTCGCAAATGGAAGAAACACAAAATAACTGTCAATCTCCCTCGGCCTGGGGCTCCATGCAAGATCTCACCTCGTGGAGTTGCAATGATCATGAGAACGGTGAGGAATCAGCCCAGAACTACACGGGAGGATCTTGTCAATGATCTCAAGGCAGCTGGGACCATAGTCACCAAGAAAACAATTGGTAACACACTACGCCGTGAAGGACTGAAATCCTGCAGCGCCCGCAAGGTCCCCCTGCTCAAGAAAGCACATATACATGCCCGTTGAAGTTTACCAATGAAAATCTGAATGATTCAGAGGAGAACTGGGTGAAAGTGTTGTGGTCAGATAAGACCAAAATGGAGATCTTTGACATCAACTCAACTCGCCGTGTTTGGAGGAGGAGGAATGCTGCCTATGACCCCAAGAACACCATCCCCACCGTCAAACATGGAGGTGGAAACATTATGCTTTGGGGGTGTTTTTCTGCTAAGGGGACAGGACAACTTCACTGCATCAAAGGGACGATGGACGGGGCCATGTACCGTCAAATCTTGGGTGGGAACCTCCTTCCCTCAGCCAGGGCATTGAAAATGGGTCGTGGATGGGTATTCCAGCATGACAATGACCCAAAACACACGGTCAAGGCAACAAAGGAGTGGCTCAAGAAGAAGCACATTACGGTCCTGGAGTGGCCTAGCCAGTCTCCAGACCTTAATCCCATAGAAAATCTGTGGAGGGAGCTGAAGGTTCGAGTTGCCAAACATCAGCCTCGAAATCTTAATGACTTGGAGAAGATCTGCAAAGAGGAGTGGAACAAAATCCTTCCTGAGATGTGTGCAAACCTGGTGGCCAACTACAAGAAACGTCTGACCTCTGTGATTGCCAACAAGGGTTTTGCCACCAAGTACTAAGTCATGTTTTGCAGAGGGGTCAAATACTTATTTCCCTCATTAAAATGCAAATCAATTTATAACATTTTTGACATGCGTTTTTATGGATTTTTTTGTTGTTATTCTGTCTCTCACTGTTCAAATAAACCTACCATTAGAATTACAGACTGATCACTGTCTTTGTCAGTGGGCAAACATACAAAATCAGCAGGGGATCAAATACTTTTTTCCCTCACTGTACACTGAGTGTACAAAACATCAGGAACACCTGCTCTTTCCATGATAAAGACTGACCAGGTGAATCCAGGAGAAAGTTATGAATTCTTATTGATAAATCCACTTCAATCAATGTAGATGAAGGGGAAGAGACCGGTTAAAGAAGGAGTTTTAAGCCTTGAGACAATTGAGACATGGATTGTGTATGTGTGCCATTTGCAGGGTGAATGGGCAAGACAAAATAATTAAGTGCCTTTGAACGGGGTATGGTAGTAGGTGCCAGGTGCATCAGTTTGAACTGCAACGCTGCTGTGTTTTTCACGCTCAACACTAACCTGTGTGTATTAACAATGGTCCATCATCCAAAGTACATCCAACCAACTTGACACAACTGTGGGAAGCATTGGAGTCAACATGGACCAGCATCCCTGTGGAACGCTTTCGACACCTTGTAGAGTCCATGCCCCAACAAATTGAGGTTCTGAGTGCAAAAGGGGGTGCAACTCAATATTGGGAAGGTGTTCCTAATATTTTGTACTCTCAGTGTACGTGTGTTAAATAGACTTATTTAGGAAAAGTCCAGAACGGAGGGGGGCATGACTTTAAAATGGCAGAGAAATGTCAATTTCAGTTCATATTGGGTCAAGATTATCCCCTTGGCCTTTCTAGTGTTAAATAAATCCCACGGCCTCTGAAGTCTGGACTGGATAGGAACAAGACAGCATCCAGACTGATTTCTCCAGGCCATTTATGCACCATCAAAGACTGTAGAGTTATGAAAGACAGTATCTTTACTTTGGCAGACCATGTTTAGTAAGAGTTATTGAATATTAGTCAAACAATCTTGTTTTAGTGATGGTGTCTAAAGTTATTACCTATATTTTCTATGATAAAGTTTAGAACTTCTGAAGGAAGACCTAAGGGTCTGAAAGTAAATGCATTTGGGAGGATTCACTGTCTGATGTGTGGTATAGGATATCTATTGTTTGGTGTATACTACCCTTGTTCTGAGGTCATTCCTCTTCCTCCTCCCAGGAGCCAATCGGATCGTCCTCCAGGATTCTAACATCCTGCAGCCCATGGGTCTGACAGTGCTGGGGGAGCACCTGTACTGGATCGACAGACAGCAGCAGATGATCGAGAGGGTGGACAAGCTGATTGGGGAGAAGAGGACCCGCATCCAGGGCCGCATCGCCTACCTCACCAGCATCCACGCTGTGGAAGACATGGACCCTACAGAGTTTGGTAAGGCACCTGGAGGAGCCTTTGTTTAGCCACTTCCTATTGCCTCAGCTGATACCAATCCTTTTGGAAAACATAAATGTGTGATGTAGTGCTTTACTACAACAGAGTTCCGTTACTCTCTCCAGTGGCAAACGCTAACTGTCCACGTCTTCTCCTTCCTCTCCCCCACAGCTTCTCATCCCTGTTCCCGTGACAACGGAGGCTGCTCACACATCTGCATCGCCAAAGGAGACGGGACACCTCGCTGCTCCTGTCCCATGCACCTGGTCCTGCTGCCCAACCTGCTCATCTGTGGAGGTACAGCTGCTGCTTTAACACATTCAATAATGATGTGTGTGATACACAATAAGTGAAGTATAACACCAAGCATTGGCTCTGAATCTAAACTCCTCTCCTCTCCTCCCCTCTCCCACCTCAGAACCACCCACCTGTTCCACAGAGCAGTTCACCTGTGCCACGGGGGACATTGACTGCATCCCCATGGCATGGCGCTGTGACGGCTTCGCTGAGTGTGATGACAACAGTGACGAGGAAAACTGCCCCGTGTGCTCGGCAATCCAGTTCCAGTGTGACAAGGGCCAGTGTGTGGATGCTCAGCTACGCTGCAACGGAGAGCCAGACTGCGCAGACAACTCCGATGAACTGGACTGTGAGAGTACGTTCACTCAACTCAGACTTTGTGCACAATATTGACACTGTTCCAGTTCAGTAAACATACACCAATGTCGTAGGGATTAAAGGCCTTGTTTTGAAGATTGCTCATTTAAGAAATGCTAGCGGCCATGACTAAAGACAAAAGAGTTATCTTGGGGATGTGGGTGGTGTTATGTTCCCATATCATACCCTGGCATGTACTGTTGTTTGTCCCTCCTGAGTCACCGTAGCAACAACAGCCACTTCCTCGAAGTAGGCACTTTCTGAAAATAGGCTGAATTAATCTAAGATAAATCAATAAATCTGTAATTAATTTAGACATTTTTGCTAAGTCATGCAATTTTACATCAAGCTAAGGTGTTTGGTGCAGTGTTTCTCAAGTACAAAAATGTGCATGGCTAACTAGCCGGTGGGTTTTGGAATATTGGCAAGTTGCAGTTGGGATACAGATGCGCTTTGATCGTCTCAATTCTCATTTTGCCCCAAAAAGTGGCAGGCTTGAGTGATTGACACTATCAAACACATCAGCAAGTGGCCACTCCATAAAGGGCTTAGGGCCAAGGGTTATTTCAACATAACATTGGCGACGTGTTGTCTTATGTAAACAAGTCTGAGAAGCTGCGTAATGGGCAGGTCTGTCTCACTGTCTTGAGGTTCTGGCTGCTATGGTTGGATAGAGCGCACAGCTGATGGATGCAATCAGCACAGCTGCTTCTCTCGTGTTAGTGGGCACTGGGCAAATGGGAATGATCGTAATAATACCCAACCCTCCAGTAAGTCGTGACGAACTCACTTACAAAACTCAGTTTTGGACAAGACTGACTTTATGACCAAAATTATCCTATTTACACTTTGTGGTTAATTTTTACACTAGAATAAATGTTTCTGCCTCATATCGATGCCACATAGGCCGTTTAAATTCAGAGAAGTTGATTCTAAGGGGCAGTTGACCTTTAATACTAGGAGATTGTACTATCACCACCACCAGCAACCTTGTTTGTATTGATTTGATGATAAGCCATGCCAAGTCTTGTAACGAGGACTTTGCTCTGTCTCCTCCCCTCAGCCATATGCCTGCCCAACCAGTTCCGCTGCAACAACAACCAGTGCATCCTGAAGAAACAGCAGTGTGACTCCTACAATGACTGTGCTGACAACTCTGACGAGCTCTTCTGTGGTGTGTTTAACTTCACTCCGGCACTGTTGAGAAAATCAAAGGGAGTTCAGAATCGTCAGTTCAGAATTTACACATACCTATATTTGTCATTTATTTTCCAGGAAGGAGAAACCAGTCAATCCATCTATAATACCATTTTGATTTAACTGACTATTCATACTTGACAGCAGTCTGTTAAATCTGTTGTAATGTCTTTGCCCGTCTTGTAGAATTCCTCACTCCCTCGTCAAGCGACGTTCACTCACCATCTCACACCAGCACCATCGGCCCAGTCATTGGCATCATCCTGTCAGTCTTTGTGATGGGAGGGATGTACTTTGTGTGCCAGCGGGTGGTGTGCCGTCGCTACAAGGGTCCCAACGGAGCCTTCCCCCACGAGTACATCAGTGGCACCCCTCACGTACCCCTCAACTTCATCGCCCCCAACAGTTCACAGCACGGAACCTTCACAGGTAAAGAAGGTTGGCTATTACACAACACTGAAAACTGCAGGTCAATTGGATGAGTGTATAGATATATGGCCTGTACTATAACAGGATAGCATTTACATGCTGAAGCAGGTAGTTGTTCTCTCTGACTGTATTTGACTGTGTTTTGTTGTGTTGCTTAGGTATCTCGTGTGGGAAGTCTATGATGAGTTCTGTCAGTCTGATGGGGAGCAGCTGTAGTGGGGCGCCGCTCTACGACAGGAACCATGTGACAGGGGCCTCCTCCAGCAGCTCCTCCAGCACCAAGGGAGCCTTCTATCCACAGGTATGAACCCAACTTCTCTGCCCTCTCTTTGACCTACACGTAGGAACCCAACACCTCTGTCCTCTCAGAGGTGTCTCTCATACGTTATTTCTAAACTGGGGGGGGGGGAATGTAAATGTTCTCCTGTTTGAACTTTACTGGACACTGTGGATGATCTTAAAAAATAAGTTTGTAATTGAATGGGTAAGGATTTGTATTTTATTTTCTGTATTTGCAGATGCTCAACCCGCCTCCCTCTCCAGCCACGGATCGCTCCCTGTATAATGCAGAGATCTTCTACTCCTCTAACAGTCCCTCCACCACCAGGTCTTACAGGTAAGAGATGCGGCACACTTGATCAGTTTCTCTCTTTTGTATTATGCAACAGTCAGCTTGATGTAAATTGGCACCTCTTTGCTGTTGTGAAATAAAACAATTGTCTTTTCTCTCCTCCATTCTTGCTCCTGAAAGACCTTATCTAATGCGTGGTGTGGCGCCCCCCACCACCCCCTGCAGCACTGACGTCTGTGACAGCGACTACACCACAAGTCGTTGGAAGAGCAACAAGTACTACATGGACCTAAACTCAGACTCTGACCCCTACCCTCCTCCCCCCACTCCCCGGAGCCAGTACCTATCAGCAGAGGAGAGCTGCCCCCCTTCTCCATCCACAGAGCGCAGTTACTTCCACCTCTGTCCCCCGCCCCCCTCACCCTGCACTGACTCCTCATGACACCCGGGGAAATAGCCATGTCTGTAAATAATTTTAAATATAAACAAATGAGAATTATATTTTATTCATTTCCACTGATTGCCATGGGTTAAAGTGGGGATGGGGGTAGGGATGGAATAGGGCCAGATCAAGTGTGAAATTGTTGTACAGTGAATTGTGTCACTTGTCTTTATATTTCATGTTTCCCACCCTCGTTTCAGATGGAGTATCCTCCTAATTAGAGAAGACTTTCAATTTGACTATTCTATTGGCCTTTGACAATTCCTTGTTTTTTCAGCAAAGTACTTTAGAACTTCCTTCAAACAACAGATACCAATTTACGGTGAAATTTGAACAAGAAGTCACCAATATTGGTTTGAGAAAATACTCCATTCGCAAATATTACACTGTGGCCAGCCACATGACCATTAAAAATACCAAAATAATTTCAAACAGAATAAAAATGTGTAAATGTTTGTAATTAAGTAAATAATTAATTTTTCACAACAGCCATGAAATGTTCTTATTAATGATTTTCTTTGTGAATTTGAAATGGTTCTGAGCATATCTTTGTTTGTTTTGGAGTTTACCAAAAATGTGTTTGCTGCTACTGTACATATATACTTTACTCTGAATTATGAAAACACTTTAAAAAAGAAAGCACCCAATAAAACAATTACAATTTGACAATAGATCATGAAGCTATTTTACTGTTTGAAATGTTTGAATTATTCATATAGTAATATTGTCCTTTTGTTGTTGTTGTGTAGAACAGTATGTATACATGTTTATGTGAAATTGTGTTAATTGTTTTGAAGGAGTCTGTATGGAATAACTCATAAGAGCAGCTTCATCATTGATGCAGTTGTCAACCAGAAATGACTAGGTTTGGCACAACCTTTTAACTCTATCATGAAAATGATATGCAATGTCCATGTGCTCTAATTCCATGTGACATTCTAGACTGACTATTCCCATTTATTGAAACAATAACAATACTGTTGGTATTTCAGCTTTTGTCAATGAGACAAATGTCTTCGTAGTTTTTTGTAAAAAAGCTATTCCATCATCTTCTCTAAACAATGTTTGAAAAACTGTGGATGATTCAATTGTAGTGAAACCCTCACTATCCTCACATTATACCTTTCAACTTAACTATAGATTGAATTTCCTCAGAGTGGTGAATATCATGCACCTGTAAAATCATTGCTCCATTATATTGTTTCGCTTTGAAGATTGTCAATGCAAGCTGTCAATGTTGCCAAATTGAGCACTTACTTAAAAATGAACTATCCAACCAGTTATGAAATGTGAATCTAAAATTACGTATAGAGGGAAATGTATATTGAATTCATACCTCTCTTGTGCTTCTTTTCTGAGCTTTTTCTCAGCCATTTGTATATTTGTTTATAGGCAATTAACCATGGTGCTGACAAGTGAAATGAAAGAATTTTCATTATTAATGGTATGATAAAAAATGTCAGTCAGGCTTCCATCTGTATGTTGAACACCTCTGGCTTCTAGCGGAGAGGTTGTACAGGTTCCTCAGACCTCCACAACACAACCTGCTGCCCTGCCCATTTCAAACCATGTCCTTACTGGATAGGGGCAACTACAGCTATACTTCATTGTGCCACTATAGATGCTCCCCAAACAAACTGTGTTTTGTGTTTAAATACCTTGTAATTTACACTTGTGACAATTTTTGTATCAAAATCATTTTTATATAATAAAGGTTATATTTTAAGGAATATTTGTGCCTAATCTTTTAAATTAGTGTTTTTTATATGTATATAGTCCCATGAAATGTGATTAATTTCCATTACATGGAAAAGGATTTTGGTGATCCAAATGGAGCTCACATTTTCTATTGCGATACTACTAACTGCACTGGTTATGTGAATGAATCATAGCTAAATGCTGTCACCATGTGGACAAACGTTGGAACGTCATCCTTATCTATTTTTCACATATTAAAATGCTTAATTTGTTTGGTCTCGTTTTCACAAGTGAACATCCATGTCCAAAAATTATATCAATCTACCCAAGTAGAGACTAGTTATGGCCACAATATTTTGTGAGGGCTGAATAAAGGCAGCAGGTGTATTGTATGGGCTGTCCTAAAAACACATCCCTAGAGAAATTGCTGCTGCTTACAAACTTCTCCAGCATAGCACATCAGTCTGCAGTTCGAATAAAAGATATGTCGATATCTGTGTTCCACTATTGCTGAGCCATTATGGTATGTCAACCTCAAACACAATAACAACCTGTGTAAACTGCTGTGGATGTGACCCCTATTAGGAAGGATTACAGACTGAGCATGGACATGGAAAACTCCTTGAAACTTTGCAACTCTCATGCCTTGGGTATGTAAAACCAAAAGGAAACGATGTATGAGGAAACATAGCTATTCAATGTCTTTGACGCTCCTATTTTGGTGTACAGTACATTGCAGAAGTAGTTATGCATGAAATATTCCTGTGAAACTTTTGAGCAGGTTGATTAAGGAGAAGAAACAACGATGTAAGAGTATTGCATTTAACGGCTGGCATTAGAGATGACTAACAGTGAATGGAGGGCAGTTTAGGGGACTGCTATACTCTCCAGGTGAAGTTACTCTCAAGTGCAGGCCTGTAATGACAATGCTCATTTCATTTGGATGTCTTCCATCTCTGACAAAGTTCTACTTTTACTTGCTACAATCCCTAATGTTAACAATGATAACCCAATGAATGTTCTCTTTTTTTTTTCAGGGGAGTAATAGCAAAAGACGGGTGGCCCATCTTGGCAATGGAGGGCCACAGCGTATGCCGGATTTTGTTCCAACTCCTATTGATTCAAATATGACCACACCCATACGTAGTCCGTAGTCTGCAAAACATATTAAGTCTCTCTGTGCATTTGTATCACATGGCGATACTGTAGGCTTGCAATACATCACAAGGTTCAGTTTAAGGTAATTTCCATCTTCAGACCCCATGGTTACAGGTTGTAATGTCACAATAGGAGAAAAACAATTCAGAATACTCATGACACCAACACTTTACAGTGATAATAACCATGGGGACAACATAACAGTTAAAAATATTGCACAATAATATGGTTTAACACTGGAAGATTATTTTTGCTTCATGCCAAGATATACCTGGGTTTCTCAACTCCAAGATATGTACATCTCCGCAGTGGTGGCTGATGGCACTTTAAATGGGGAGGATGAGCTCATAGTAATGTCTGGAACAGAATAAATGGAATGGTCTCAAACATATCAAATACATGGTTTCCCTGTGTTTGATCCCATTCCATCTACTCCATTCCATTCATTATTATGAGCCATCCTCCCGTCGCCAGCCTCAGTGGAGTTGGGTTGCGACGACTGTGGGCGGAGTGTACCTCCGACTACATCGAGTCGCTGTCATTCGATGCGAGAAAACAGTCATTGGTTGTATTTGACTGAAGTTTTATTAAAAAGTATGGATTTCAGTTAACAAAGAAAGGCACGCAGCTGCAGAGGAAAAACATAGGTACACAGTAAGAGTTTAAGAATTAAAAATTGTACAAGTATCGACTGACAGTGACTCGATGTAGTCTGAGGTTCAGTCCGCCCACAGTCGTCTCCGCTCAGCTCCATTGATGTGATGTACATCTTGGAGTTGAGAAAAACTTGGCTAGCCAAGAGATTACCTTTGATCAGTTGCACTGGCTGCAAAGATGAGCAACTATCCTGGCACTGGGTTTAACCCATCAATCTCATCACACTGAGAAATTATATACAGTGAGGAAAAAAAGTATTTGATCCCCTGCTGATTTTGTACGTTTGCCCACTGACAAAGAAATGATCAGTCTATAATTTTAATGGTAGGTTTATTTGAACAGTAAGAGACAGAATAACAACAACAAAATCCAGAAAAATGCATGTCAGAAATGGTATAAATTGACTTGCATTTTAATGAGGGAAATAAGTATTTGACCCCCTCTCAATCAGAAAGATTTCTGGCTCCCAGGTGTCTTTTATACAGGTAACGAACTGAGATTAGGAGCACACTCTTAAAGGGAGTGCTCCTAATCTCAGTTTGTTACCTGTATAAAAGACACCAGTCCACAGAAGCAATCAATCAATCAGATTCCAAACTCTCCACCATGGCCAAGACCAAAGAGCTCTCCAAGGATGTCAGGGACAGAATTGTAGACCTACACAAGGCTGGAATGGGCTACAAGACCATCGCCAAGCAGCTTGGTGAGAAGGTGACAACAGTTGGTGTGATTATTCGCAAATGGAAGAAACACAAAGAACTGTCAATCTCCCTTGGCCTGGGGCTCCATGCAAGATCTCACCTCGTGGAGTTGCAATGATCATGAGAACGGTGAGGAATCAGCCCAGAACTACACGGGAGGATCTTGTCAATGATCTCAAGGCAGCTGGGACCATAGTCACCAAGAAAACAATTGGTAACACACTACGCCGTGAAGGACTGAAATCCTGCAGCCCCCGCAAGGTCCCCCTGCTCAAGAAAGCACTTATACAGGCCCGTCTGAAGTTTGCCAATGAACATCTGAATGATTCAGAGGAGAACTGGGTGAAAGTGTTGTGGTCAGATGAGACCAAAATGGAGCTCTTTGGCATCAACTCAACTCGCCGTGTTTGGAGGAGGAGGAATGCTGCCTATGACCCCAAGAACACCATCCCCACCGTCAAACATGGAGGTGGAAACATTATGCTTTGGGGGTGTTTTTCTGCTAAGGAGACAGGACAACTTCACCGCATCAAAGGGACGATGGACGGGGCCATGTACCGTCAAATCTTGGGTGAGAACCTCCTTCCCTCAGCCAGGGCATTGAAAATGGGTCGTGGATGGGTATTCCAGCATGACAATGACCCAAAACACACGGCCAAGGCAACAAAGGAGTGGCTCAAGAAGAGGCATATTAAGGTCCTGGAGTGGCCTTGCCAGTCTCCAGACATTAATCCCATAGAAAATCTGTGGAGGGAGCTGAAGGTTCGAGTTGCCAAACGTCAGCCTCGAAACCTTGACTTGGAGAAGATCTGCAAAGAGGGGTGGGACAAAATCCCTCCTGAGATGTGTGCAAACCTGGTGGCCAACTACAAGAAACGTCTGACATCTGTGATTGCCAACAAGGGTTTTGCCACCAAGTACTAAGTCATGTTTTGCAGAGGGGTCAAATACTTATTTCCCTCATTAAAATGCAAATCAATTTATAACATTTTTGACATGCATTTTTCTGGATTTTTTTGTTGTTATTCTGTCTCTCACTGTTCAAATAAACCTACCATTAAAATTATAGACTGATCATTACTTTGTCAGTGGGCAAACGTACAAAATCAGCAGGGGATCAAATACTTTTTTCCCTCACTGTAATGTAGTTAAATGTAGGCTACTGTTGGAAATACACCACAGATTATCAGGTGTCATTTTCTTAGCCTGACGACTCACACTATATTCTTCCGCTGCTCTGTCATTCACTACATACTTTAGTAAGACTGCCATCATTGAAGTCGTTTGTGGTGATAAGGGGCAAAACAACACATCAACACCATTATCCCAGAAACCCTAGACCCACTCCAATAGCATACAGCTGGCGGGTTATACACTGTATCGGCAGGATAGAACGGCAGCCTCTGGTAAGACAAGGAGTGGCGGTCTATGTATATTTCTAAACAACAGCTGGTGCACGATATTTAAGGAAGTCTTGAAGTTTTGCTGGCCTGAGATAGTGTGGTCTACAGCTTATCATGAGATACTCTATCTACCAAGAGAGTTTTCATCTATATTCTTCGTACCTGTCTATTTACCACCACAAACTGAAGCTGGCACTAAAACCGCGCTCAATGAACTGTATACGGCCATAAGCAAACAGGAAAACGCTCGTCCAGAGCCGGCGCTCCTAGTGGCCGGGGACATTAATGCAGGGAAACTTACATCTGTTTTACCTCATTTCTACCAATATGTTAAATATGCAACCAGAGGGAAAAAAAACTCTAGACCACCTTTACTCCACACACAGAGACGCGTACAAAGCTCTCCCTCGCCCTCCATTTGGCAAATCTGACCATAACTCTATCCTCCTGATTCCTGCTTACAAGCAAAAACTAAAGCAGTAAGCACCAGTGACTCGGTCAATAAAAAAGTGGTCAGATGAAGCAGATGCTAAGCTACAGGCCTGTTTTGCTAGCACAGACTGGAATATGACCGGGATTCTTCCGATGGCATTGAGGAATACACCACATCAGTCACTGGCTTCGTCAATAAGTGCATTGATGACGTCGTCCCCACAGTGACTGTACGTACATACCCCAACCAGAAGCCATGGATTACAGGCAACATCAGCACTGAGCTAAAGGGTTGCTTTCAAGGAGCGGGACTCTAACCCGGAAGCTTATAAGAAATCCCGCTATGCCCTCCGACGAACCATCAAACAGGCAAAGCGTCAATACAGGACTAAGATTGAATCGTACTACACCGGCTGCCCAGTGACATGAGCCTACCAGACGAGTAAATTACTTCTATGCTCGCTTTGAGGCAAGTAACACTGAAACATGCATGAGAGCATCAGCTGTTCCGGACGACTGTGTGATCACACTCTCCGTAGCTGATGTGAGTAAGACCTTTAAACAGGTCAACATTCACAAGGCCGCAGGGCCAGATGGATTACCAGGATGTGTACTCCGAGCACGCGCTGACCAACTGGCAAGTGTTTTCACTGACATTTTCAACCTCTCCCTGTCTGAGTCTGTAATACCAACATATTTCAAGCAGACCACCATAGTCACTGTGCCCAAGAACACTAAGGTAACCTGCCTAAATGACTACCGACCCGTAGCACTCACATCTGTAGCCATGAAGTGCTTTGAAAGGCTGTTCATGGCTCACATCAACACCATTATCCCAGAAACCCTAGACCCACTCCAATTTGCATACCGCCCCAACAGATCCAAAGATGATGCAATC